GGAAAATGACAGATAAAGAAGGCTGAAATAATAAAATGCCAGAATGGGAAGCTAAGCAAATGTATTACCAGATAGGGAAGTGTTGCCTGATTTGGGATTATGCAAATGTTGCACAATTACAAAACAGCCCCTGTCAGTCAGCGTTTGAAAGCGAGAGAGAGAGAAGGCGCGGCGAACACTCCTGCACTGACCGTCGCTGCTTCTTCCTCGTTTCTTCCACCGCTCCACCATCCCCATTGTTGCCCTAAAAACGCCGGCAAGCTGGACAGTTGAGGACCCCGAAATAGTGTGTGCGTAAGAGAGCAGAGGAGTTGGAAGTGGAAGGGCGTGCTGTTCGAAGGGCGAACGTGGTCGCGTCTGACTGATTGTGTGGAAAGACGAAGGTTGGCGCACGGTGATTCACCATTGCAGTTAACAAGCATCAACAGCATTTCAGTGAGGTAAGTTCAGGCATTTAAGTTTCGTGCTGTGGTCGACGTTTCTGGGTGAGTCTGGGAATCAATGATAGGGCAATATTTAGATATGACGCGATGAAGTTTGTGAATGACAGGAATGGCGATTAAGGGTTTATGCTGAGTCGCTATGGCAAGCTATTCTGTTTTTAATAACGTAGTTGAGAACTGGAAAAATGGGTTTTGAAATCAGTAGGAAAATTGTCTGATTGACTGGAAAAATTATATGAACAACTGGAAATGACAATAACATACTGGTAAATGACTATGATCGAACCTAAAATGACCATATTCATAGTAATGACCTTACTGTCTGAATGAGTGGAAAGATTATATGAATAAACTGGAAATGACAATACCAAACTGGTAAATGACTATGAAGGAACTTGAAATGACCATATTCATAGTAATGACCTTACTGTCAGACTGTAATGGCCATGTTGGTAATGACAATGAATTAAGTGGGGGAATGACCATATTCATATTAATGACCTAACTGTTAGTCTGTAATGGGCATATTGGTAATGACAATAAGTTAACTGGAAACGACCATATTCATACCGGCATCCTTACTGTCACTCTGTAATGGCCATATTGTAAATGACAATGAATTAATTGGAAATGACCATATTCATAGTACTGACCTAACTGTTAGTCTGTAATGGGCATATTGGTAATGACAATAAATTAACTGGAAACGACCATATTCATACCAGCATCCTTACTGTCACTCTGTAATGGCCATATTGTAAATGACAATGAATTAATTGGAAATGACCATAACGAATCTGGAAAGAACTAGATGTGTAGTAAATGTATTAAAATTATGATTTAATGATGGTACCTTGATGACTTTGCAGAACTATACGAGATGGTGTTGGAAGAAGGGGAAGGGTCCACAAGCAAAGGAGTCCACAGTGGGCTTGTGTTGTTCAGAAGGGAGTATATGGCTAAACGAGGTGAGAAGTGTAAAAACGCAGAGAAGAAAATTGAAGTGGGGAAGGCATGGAGGGCCCTGAGTGAAGAAGAGAAAGATAGGTATAATGAGAGGGCAAGGAAAACGAAGCCACAGAAAGGTGAGAAGAAGAAGTATGATGTTCCCTTGTACACCCGGTGCTCATTGCCCGGATTTCTATCATTGGCTGAATATGTGAAGAAGAACAGGCGGTTGAGGCAGAAAGTTCAGAGGATGGATTTGGGAACTTGCTTAATGTGAATGTGAAGCAACTTCCACGTGATCTACTTGTGTCATTGTTGAGATGCTATGACCCACCAACGCATTTTTTGACCATTAGAGGGCAAGGGCAGGCAATTGAGGCAAAAGATGCGCATGAGTTTCTAGGTGTACCTGACAGTGGGGAGGAAGTGAAATCTGATGTTAGTGAGGATGACCCGGAATACAAGAGGTTGAAGGACACTTATTGGAAGGTTCCATTTACCCAGATACTGAAGAGGATATTATCTGGGGAAGAAAGCGACAATTTTGAGTTCCTATTTATGCTTTATACAGTTGGAGCTTTTCTATGTCCTGGGTCAAGCACAACTGTACATATACGTTTGTTGAAAGTGATGCGTCACACGATGAATGGGTTTTGGAAATATGATTGGTCAACGTACATAATCAAGAACCTGTGAAGGAAATGGGAGACTTTGTGAAGATGACAAAGAAGAAGAAGAAAGGAACCTGCAATGTTGGAGGGTGTCTTTATTTGCTGCTGGTAAGTCAATATTTTTCTTATGGTTCACTATATTTTTGTCTTTTGTTATTGTTGCAGAAGTGTGACCTATCTTTATTTGGTTTTGCAGCTGTATTTTGTTGAGCGTTTCCCGCTGGGATTGTCTGTTGACCGGGGTTCAACAAGCGCCATTGAATATTGGACCGAGGAGAAGATAAAGGAGAGGGTGGAGAAAGAGAGAGGCAGCAGCATGGGAATATTGCATGGAAGCAGTGGCAGCGAGGTATACTCAGCAGGACATGAGGACAGTCCAATTTTGCAGTCTTTAGATCCGGTATGTGGGAACTTAGAAAATATACGTGACCTGAGTTTAAGTCAGTCTATTAGCAAGGTTGATACTTGAGATGACAAGACTTTATTTAGAAATGACCAGTGAGATACTGGCATTTGATAACAGTGAACAATTTTTTTGATATCTTCATTTACTGTGTATGCAGGCATTGAAGGAGTTGAGGGCTCGTTTTGTGAAGAAGCTTGAAGAAAGCCAGAGGACGTTAATGAAGGCTCTTGATGATGAGCTACTCAAACTGCAGATTGGATTGAACGCCAAAGTTAAGGGGATGGGGAATGAGAATGCCACTGCTAAAGAAGGGGTTGAAACAGTTGGTGATGCAGCTGGTAACGATGCTGAAGAAGCTGATGATGTTGACCGAGTGGTGGAGGAGATTGCAAGAGAGGTTGCAGCGGGAAGTGCAGATGAGGAACTTGATGAGGATGAAACCAGCAAAGGAGATGATGAGAAGGATGAGGATGAGAACAACATGACCTTCATGACAGGGAAGTCAGTGATGATTACATGGTTGAGGAGGTGGAAGAAGAGGGTGACCGTGATGGTCATGGAGGTGATGACGACGACGACGAGGATGAGGAGGAAGATGACCATGATGACAGGGAAGGAGGTCATGTGGTTGATGAGGAGGAAGATGACCATGATGACATGGAAGTCAGTCATGATTATGTGGTTGAGGAGGCCGAAGATGATGATAAGGAGGTTCGGGATTCAGATGATGAGGGGGAGGAAGCTACACATGTACTGACAATGACCCCTACCAATGTTCCTTTGCTGTTGGATCGAGAATGGGTGAGCAGTGACAGTGGGGAGGAAGGAGGGCCTGAAAAATCGATTGACCTTAGGAGGTCAACAAGGGCAAAGAGTTCCACAATTAAATCTCCGTGGATAGAATTCAAGGCAGCTCCGAGGACGAAGAGGCCAAAGGAGGAAAGTGACATCTTTTCACTTTAATATCCCGTAGACCCAAGGGAGAGGAAGAGGGGAATATGTAAGTATATCCGTAGCTAGTGTTTTGTTTTTAAATGACACAGTGTGCCCTGAAAATGACAGCAATAGGATTGAAAATGACAATAACATACATGGGAATGACAAGTATTGATGTCCCCAACACCATACTTTCTGTCACTGACATCTGACAATGTTTGCAGGACTATCATCAAAATGTTTGATGAAGATATAGACCGACAACAGCTGTTTTCCCTGGGTGGAGTGAACAGAGTAAATAACAGGGTATTTTAGAATGCTCTGTCCCTGCACCCACGATTATGTTTGATAATGTTTGGTGAGATTATTGTACCAGAATGACGTTTTCACTTGTGTTCTGTAGGTGCTTAATTTGGTGTGCAAGGCAGTGATGGAGGACATGAAGGCAGAGTTGGGGCCAGGGAAGAGGCATATTTTCGATGTTGATTTCATGGTGAGGTTGCATAATTCCAAATGCAAATACCAATGACAGCAATTGAATTGGAAATGACTTGTTCTCTGTTAATGGATTAACAATTTCATGTCATGCAGAACATGATGGCACATGATCCAACCTGGAAAGCCCAAAAATATAAGAAGCTCTTTCTTCCTGAGTTCGTTGGCTACAACTTAGCTGAATGTGATTTCATAATTGGTCTTGCTCTTGTTGGCCAACACTGGTTTTGCGTTGCCATTCAGCCTAGCACATTGGATTTCCACGTAATAGACTCCATGAGGAACCATTTCGGAACCAAGGACAGAAAGCAGAAGAAGAAGGTTGTCATCAAAGACCCAGTGGAAATGGCTGTGGATGATTGTGTAAGAAAAAACTCATTATCTTTACCCTAGTTTTTGAACTTGGAAAATCATTAAACTTTCTATGTTGGTCCTGAATGTTGTTACAGAGGAAGAGGCTCAATATTATACTGGACTTGGTCAAGCCAGGATTGGTTGGGAAAAAGCCAATGTCTCCCATGATATTTGCAGCAGTTCCCCAGCAGAATAACCTGTCAGTTTTGTCAAATTCGATTTCTGTGGGGTAAATGCACATGTCAGATGTGTTAACTAACTGTGCTGATATTGTTGCGTCCACAGGAGGGATTGTGGGGTGCACTGCATGATGTGGCTGAGAAGATGGGAACCTGGTGTGACCCTTACCTACACAGAGGAAGAAGTTGCTGGCTTTCGTCGTGACCTGACATGGTGGTTGGTCAATCATGAACAGAATGAAAAACGTGACGAGGCATTGGCCCTTATTCGACGACCACAACCAACCAAGAGCACAAAGTCCAAGAAAAGGCGTCGGTCTTAGGTGTCTCGATGTTAGGGTCATAATTCACTTGTCTTCTGTTAGATTGCTGTATGTAATGTGCATTGTAGGCTGACCAAAAATTTACTGTGTATTGTTATGGTTAACAGAGATTGGTGTCCATAAATGTATGATAGTTGAGAACCATGATGCCAATTTATTCCCCAGTGACATGAATGAATCTGGTTTTAACCACACAAAATAGATGATGACAACAACCCCATTGGACATGTGCTATTGGTTTTCATTTTTTGTTCAGGTCACTAAATTTTACTTCAATATATCCTGTTGGTATCCAACAGAAAATGACACGAAGTGAAGCGAATATGACAGCGATAATGACAAGGATCACCTGGTCTGATTTTACAACATCAGTTCAACACGGCTGTCAGCTTATGCTGATAGCATCACTGCCAATGACCAGAACAAATTTCAAAATGACACGAAGTGAAGCGAATATGACAGCGATAATGACAAGGATCACCTGGTCTGATTTTACAACATCAGTTCAACACGGCTGTCAGCTTATGCTGATAGCATCACTGCCAATGACCAGAACAAATTTCAAAAATGACACGAAGTGAAGCGAATATGACAGCGATAATGACAAGGATCACCTGGTCTGATTTTACAACATCAGTTCAACACGGCTGTCAGCTTATGCTGATAGCATCACTGCCAATGACCAGAACAAATTTCAAAATGACACGAAGTGAAGCGAATATGACAGCGATAATGACAAGGATCACCTGGTCTGATTTTACAACATCAGTTCAACACGGCTGTCAGCTTATGCTGATAGCATCACTGCCAATGACCAGAACAAATTTAAAATGACAACAAGTAATGAGCCATTAACAAAAGCTAACATCCCCATAACAGTAACTTCCTTTCATGTATTCAACAAGTGGACATTAAGATACTAGCCACACTTAATGCTCCGTTATCACTGAAATAACTATCAGCTTACTTACAAAAAAATGTCTCCACCTAGCTCCTAACTACAACCCCAGTCCCAAAAAAGTTGACAAGGGCGGAGCATACAACTATGTACACCAAAAAATGACCCATCCCCACTGTACTCGAAACTTCATGATGGGTTAGGATTTCTGCAATTCCTCCTTGTGTGTCCAGGCTGGTGGCATCTTCCACAGTGGTATATCCGTTTGTTCTGGAACTGTGATTCATCCCTGTTTACTTTTGGCCTTCCTGGTGGTCGGGATGTCATGGGAGGTAGCAAGAAAACTTGCTCACTGACATTTTCTATTCTATAGTAGTCATTTGGGTGAGGCATGTCTGTTGTTACCACAGGAATCATACTGCGAGCATAGATCTTTTCTTGTGATGACTTTTTATAGCAATTATCAATATAATCATAAACATTGCCGTGCACAATCTTGATGGCAGCACAAGCATGGGAACAAGGGATCCCCGTCATTTGCCAAGATCTGCAACTGCATTGGTGTAGTCCAAGATCAACCCGATGGTCTCCACGTGATGTTGTCACCTTCACTCTTCCCCCACCATAATTTTCAGCATACATATGGTCAGACCCAGCCACCATATCCAGCACCTTACTCTCTATATTTGGACCAACGCAATTCTTCCATTTGGTCATACCCACATAGGAGGCATGCAGCTTTCTTGCAACTTTATCTCGGTGCTCATAGATCAATTGGGGTACAGTATGCTTTCTCTCATTCACCATCCATGCATTGAATGATTCTGCTATATTGGTTGTAATATTGTCCCATCTTTTATATGGGAACCTACTTTTAGCCCACCTATCTACATCCCCATGATGAATAAGCCAATCAAATAGCCTTGGAGAAAAGGATCTCATGTCATCCATTGCTGCCTCAAATTTCTCATCCGTCCTTGCGTATGCAATTTTATCCAATTATAGTGCATCCTCCATTTGATCGGCCATTTGTCCTTGTTTGCCCCTTATTCATTTTCATAACTTCTGAACTAAAATTCTCCTTGATGTGTCTATAACAAAAGGCATGCCTTTGACCCCCAAAGATTGATGCCACTCCTCCGATGATAGCATTGTGTCGATCTGATACAATCGTTACTTCCACAGAACCCAGGATTTTTTTTATCATATAGAAAAACCACGTCCAGTCATCTAGTGTTTCTCCCTTCACAATTGCAATTGCAAATGGCAGCAGCTCGTTATCTGCATCATAAGCTGAAGCTGACAACATTGTCCCCTTGTATGGTCCGCTTAAGTGAGTTCCATCAACATACATAATATGCCTCGCGCCACCCAAAACCCTCAATGCATGCCCCGTAAGCAATGAAAACACGCTCAAACCGGTTCCCAATAGCAGTCCATTCAGCCACTGATTTTTCATCTGTTTCCTTTATCCTTTCGCATAGCCATGGTATGAGCATGTATGATTGTTCAGGCCTGCCATATATGTCTTCCAGTGACTTCTCTCTTGCTCTATAAGCCTGTTTATATGTTAGATCAATCCCATACTCTCGTTTCAACCTCTTCCTTATCTCAGAAGTGCGCTTGTCTGCATGATCCCTCATCTCATCAATTATTATTGATGAGTTCAAACTAGCTCTTCCACTATGCATCACGTCCAAGCTATCTTGGGCAGAATGAACATGCCGGTTTATAAATGTCGTCACTCGTAGCACATCACAACTCTTCCCCACATGATTTGCACATAGCTTCCATGGACAACCCTCAACTTTACACCTTATCGACATGAATTCCTTGCTATTCCTCATATACTTGGCCACAAACTTGTTTGCAAGTGCAAACTTGTATACAGACACCCGAAATACATCTGCACTAGGAAAACGTTGGCCCACTCCTGTTAAAAGTCCCCTCCATTCCGCATGAACCATCTCACTACCATCCGTATCTTCAGCTCCGATAGATTTATCCACATTAGGGGGCCCACTTATTTCATCATTGTCACATTCACGAGCATTTTCTTCACTGAGCCAGCCATAATCACAACACAAACTAATGGGAGACGCATCCAGTTCAGTTTGCTGTGACATGCCCATGAATCTCTCTGTTCTGCATTCATAATGACAAGACTCGTTAACACAAATGACAAGAAGAAATTCATAAATGACAACAAATAGTTAGGACAAACTTCCACTTACATTTCTACATTGTCCCTTGGTTGGGGACCCACTTGTCTTTTTTTCGGCGACATACACATGACCGCTGTTCCCATTGTATTGAAAGAGGTTATACATTTCAGCATTGTCATGAAGGTCAATCAATGTCTTCTCATCAAAGGCCACTGTGTACTTAATGTCATAATTTCTTCCATCGCCACCAATCCACTCAGATATCATTAGCCTCAATTCATCAAGTGTCAGCCCATCCTTAATGCTTCTTAACCTCACGCCACCTCCATTATATCTCACTTCACCTTCACCATTTGTCACAAATTTCCCCCCACATGAAAATAACAGAACAGCTCCTTCCCACAAGATGACCCAGCTGCGAAATTCATTTATCTTCATTACCTGCACTGATAACATAACAGAAGTCGAATGATTATATGACTTAATACCATCATCATCAACTTACACGACCAACTTAGGGTTTGACACATTCATGCTTATAATTTGCAACAAAACAATCATTTCTTTCCTGTCCACACTAATGCTTCGTTTTCTCAGAATCAATCCACTCCATTATTCGAATCTCCCTCCAACATTGTCCATTTATCTGACACTAATCACTCTAACCCACTTGTGACGCCATCAAACCCCTCTCCCTCAGTGTTTTTCCTTCCCCGTGCATTCACCCTCTGATCACCGTCCTTCCCCCCACACTTTCTATATACCCACGCCGTCTCCATGCTTCGCCACCCTCTCCACCTCAAAACCATCCCCACATCGACAACATTGCCATCCAACGGGAAGAGGAAAATCAACCGGCGCATAAAGGAGAGGGACAAAAGACACAGGCGAACAATATAGTCACTGGATACTAACCTCGCTTCCGTCATTCAGTTGTTGCTTCGCGCGTTCATGCTCCCACGTTCGTGGTCCCTCCCAACTTTTTCCTCCAGCTCCCGCCACAACTTCCACACTTCCACCGGTCACTTTTTCAGTTTGCATATGAGGGGCTGTTTTGTAATTGTGCAACATTTGCATAATCCCAAATCAGGCAACACTTCCCTATCTGGTAATACATTTGCTTAGCTTCCCATTCTGGCATTTTATTATTTCAGCCTTCTTTATCTGTCATTTTCCCAAAAGAGTATCTAGTGATCAAAAAATGAGGAAAATAAGGGGAGAAACTGCAGGCACCCACTTTGAAGTACTACAAAAGAGTTTGGCAACTCCTTATAATCACTTAAAAAAAGTGTTTTTATATGAGACGAAACAAAACTCCTCTTACGTACTTATTTTACATGCCGTAACATCACTTCGGAAAAACTGATTGTCCTCTTTTACATAAAAAAATAAAAAATGATTTCACACAACAGAAAATAAAAAAGCATATAAAAGTTGTTCTTATGTTCAATTTTGTAAAGCATTTTTTTTTTGCTTTACAAAACATTTAACTGAAATTTAATTATCAAACTAGTTTTTGTATTTTAAATTTTGTCCTGAAAAACCGAAAAATTGTTTTGGAAATGGGAAACTAAACAAGGACTAAGTCTTCTTTCCAACTAGTATATTTATTTGATTAATTTTCCTAGCTTTTTCTCTATTTGGTTAGTCATCCAGGTGGGTTCATCAATGTGGGGGAGGTCCACTAATCTCAAATAAATTTAAGAAAATTAAAACAAACATGTGAATATAATTCTAGGTAATGCATTTTTTTATATTTAATTTAATGGATAAATTAGCCAAACTTTCTTTTGAAATGTACGGAAAATGGAGGTTGATGATAATTTTTGAAAAAATGAACTCTTGTTTCATCATATATCCACAGTTTATTTTTTGTCATATTTTATGCTTCAATTTAATTAGCGTAAGCTTTACCTCCTGGAACTTCACTGTTTGAGTCAAAGTCACTGCATGGATAAGAATGAAAAGCTATATATTTAATTAGGGCAAGTTAAACAAATAATCAAACGGATGGATGAGATTATATATGTATGGGTCAAGACAATTTGTTTTGTCATTTTGATCATTCTACGCCACCTCTGCCATGGTTGTTACCAATAATTTTCATATAATATCAAAGAATAGCCACACTGAATTAAAATAGAGCTAGAATAATTTGAAATATATTACCTTGAAGCAAGCTTTAATCTCTTGGAAGCATAAGATGAGTAAAGGCTAGGGCAACATACACAGAGACACACACACACGTGTGTGTGTGTATAATTGTGACGATGTCAAATTTCTCCATATCAAACCTAAATAAGATTCAGCTTCAAACCTATTACGGTCTATTCAACTGGATCCAGTTCCATTTAATTAAAGTACATAAACAATTACTTAATATGAGCTCAACATATAAATAAAATATGCTCAACAAATTAATACTAATCCACAAAATAATTCCAATATACACCCCCCTAAAAAAGAAAGAAATAAAAAGTTAAAAATGGGTATGTTTAGTATGGCAAAACGATCTCCGTATAGTCATTTAAGTTTATTTATCTGTGAAGATATTAAAATTGAAAATGCGATGCATAATTCTTACCAAACTTGACTATAGTGTCCATTGTATATATTTAAGAAAAAAATTACGATGAGGTTTCAAAAACGAAATGTAATCATAAACAAAGTGAATATCATGAACCTATTATCATTTTTTATGCTCAAAGCTGTTATTGCTTACAGCTCATTTGTTATAAGACTTTTGATAATTATAATTAGGAAATGTGGATCTCTGTACATTTATTAATCCAGGTCTTTTTTCCCACTATCTTTATATGGTTAATTTCCTTAACATATTCCCTATCAATTACTACGTGGTGAGTTAGCAGGGTGGCGTCATGCATGCAAACTCTGTCTAATAGTCAGTGGTAGTAGTGGTAGACTTAGAAAATAATGAACGCACAAGCCAATTAAAAAAGCGCAAGTAGTGTTGGCAAAAAGAAAAAAACCGAGTAGTAAAGCTTAATTAGCACGCTAATTAGAAAGAAGCGTCAAACACGAAAATTAGTTAATGATAGTACTTTCAGAAGATAATAAGCCTGGATTAATTATTAGTGGATGAAATGGTTTAGAGTTTAGACGCGTCTATTTTACTTCAGAGCTATCTATTATATTGTCTGAATAAAAGGATCCAAGAAAAATGAGTGAAGATAAATTGCCTATAAATAGCTAGCATCGGGAGCAATCCCTCCCACATACGTCAAACCATACACCGTGAGTGATCACGGAAACCTCATTCTCCTATTGCTATATTGCTAATCTTTTGCTAAACTTCAAACACACTCTTGTTGATCCCTCGACCGTCCTCTCCGATTGGAACCGTGAGCGAGATTGCTGTGAATGGGCCGGAGTTCAGTGCTACAACACCACTGGCAGAGTCGTTGAGCTTAGTCTCCCTTGTTCTGCAGAATCCTCCTTCCCTGATGGTTGTGAGAGTGAGAAATCAAGCTCTCTAACAGGTGATCTCAACCTATCATTGCTTCAACTTGAGTTTATAAATTACTTGGATTTGAGCAACAATGACTTCCAAGATATCGTTCAAAAAGGTTATGAGGATGCGACAAATTGTAGTAACATGCCTTTTATTCATCGTCCTCATTCTTGTGAAAATTCTTCCAATCTTCATTTATCTGAAAATGAGAATCCTTGTGTTGATAATATTCTCTGGCTCTTTCGTGTTTCCTCCCTCAAACATCTTTACCTCGGTGACATGGGTTTTCAAAAAGAAATAGATTGGCTCCAATCAGCGACTCTCCTTTCTTCATTCACAGAGTTGTCCTGGGATGGTTGGTTTCTTGGAAGCATCAATCCTTATCTGCCGTTGTCGATTTTACTTCCCTTGAAGTTGTTAGTCTTCCTTATAATGCTTTCGACACTCAATTCTTGCCTCATTGGTTATTTAATCTTAGTGATCTCACAATTGTCGACTTGAGCTATAATCATATTCAAGGCCAACTCCCAAAGAGTTTATTGAATCTTTGAAAATTAGAAAAATTGTATTTGAGTGAGAATAAACTCAGTGGATTGATTCCAGATTGGCTGGGCCAACTTGAACATCTACAAGAACTTATTGTCGATAGAAATATATTTTCTGGTCCTATTCCTTCAACTTTAAGAAGTTTGTCATCCTTGACTGCCTTGGATGTTAGCTCAAACTACTTGAAGGATATTCTTCCAGAAAGTCTTGGAAATCTGTCATCCTTGACTACTTTGGATGCTAGCTCAAACTACTTGAGTGAGTCTTCCAGAAAGTTTTGGGCAACTCTTGAACTTGGAGGCGTTAGGTGTTGGTGATAATCAATTGACAGGGCATTTGACCCAAAGAATTTTTTTCAATCTTTCGAACTTGAAATACCTTTCCATGGGATCTCTGGGCTTAATCTTTGACTTTCACTATCTTTGTGCTCCTCCATTTCAACTTGAAAAACTTATTTTGACAAACATGACGGGTCCTAAGCTTCCTCCATGGCTCTATACACTAGGGGTGTGTAAAAACTCAGTGGTTCGATCCGGTCCAGTTCAGATAAATTATATAATGAAACTGGGTTTCGGACCAACTGATCAAACCACTTGGATTGGTCCAGTCCAGTCTAGGTTAATTTTATATTTTTCAATAATTTATAATTTTGATGTTACCTTTAATTTTTTTTAATGTTTTTAGGGATTTTTATGTATTTATGATGAAGTCTTAATATTTTAGGATGAGTTTTATATGATTATAGGTATTTTTTATTGTTTGAATTATATTTATCATATCGAAATCTTGCTTGCCATAAAGAAAAAGAATTAAAAAATAAAATAAAATTGGAAATCTGGACTGTCTGGGCCAATCCACCAGTCTGGTGGACTAAGTCCAGTCCAACTTGACCTCGGGTCACCATTGGATTGAACCATACCACAGACTGCCAAACCCAGCCCGACAAAAAATTAGACTAGACTTTAGATTGGACTCTGGTCTGATCCAGTCTATCCATTGTGTAGCCCTAATATACACAAACGTCTCTTATAAGTTTAGAAATTGCCTCCTCAAGAATGTCATTTGAATTTGAAGACAACTTTTGGGGCTTTGCAAACCAGATGGCATACCTGCATTTACATGGTAACAGGATTAACGGGAACTTGTCAAACGTTTTCCTGAACGACAGATGATATTTTTAGATTCAAATAAATTTAAAACTAGCCTCCCTCGATTATCACCAAACGCTCTTTTTCAGTGCGAAAAACAACTCTTTTCAAGGATCCCTTTCTCCATTGTTGTGTCAGAAAATGAGTGGGAGAAGCCAATTAAGGTATATAGACTTATCCAAAAATTCTTTATTTGGGGGATTGACAGATTGTTGGCTGAATTAGAAGTCATTGCTTCTTGTTAAGCTTTGCAGCAATAATCTAAGAGGCACAATTCCACCGTCACTGAGTTTTCTGTCAAAACTTACAATTCTGCAGCTTAAAAAAAACCTCTTATTTGGAGAGATACATTTGTCACTAGAAAATTGTCAAAATCCACAGATCCTTGATCTAGAGGAAAATAAACTTTCGGGACCCATACCAAATGGGATAGGGCTCAATTTAAAGGTTCTTCTTCTTAGATCTAATCAACTCAGTGGAACTGTTCCATTACAAATATGCCAATTGGCCTCTCTCACAATATGGGATCTTGCAGGCAACAAAATATCAGGTTTAATACCTACATGCCTACATAATATAACAGCCATGGCTTTTTCTCCATCTTCATGTACTGTCATGCCCTCTTTTTGCATCACAGTTCTACATAGTATGACGGTATTTATAGACAGTATCATGTTGCATGCAAAAGGCCAAGGATTGATCTACAAAAAATACTTGCAATTGGTGCGTGATATTGATCTTTCAAGGAATATTATGTTTGGCGATATCTCCAGAGTTATTTAGCCTCAATGAAGTGCAATTTTTGAACTTATCTCATAATCAGTTTGAAGGGAACCTACCGATTAGATTGGCAACTTGAAACAATTAGAGTCTCTTGATCTCGTGAGCAACCGACTTTCAGGTGAAATTCCTCCAAGTTTGGCTCAATTAACTTCTCTGGGAACCTTAAACCTTTCCTTCAACAATTTCTCTAGAAAGATCCTATTAGGGACTGAACTTCAAGGGTTTGATCCACAGTGCTATATTGCGAACTCTGAATTATGCAGAGCTCCACTTCAAAAGAACCGCAGAGACCAACAAGACATGGAACCCATTAAAGGAAATGACAGTGAAGAAGATGAATCTCTATCTGCATTCTACTTTGGGTTAGGAGTTGGATTTGCCACGGCTTTCTGGGGAGTCAATATTGCTATTTTCTTCAACAGGAATTTTAGGCATTCTTACATTAGATTCCTCTATCACATATCACATCAGAGACAAACTTTATGTTATAATAGTCCTTCGGATGAACTGTTTCCATCGTTGGATACCTACTTGGCATTGTGGTAAGTGAAACAAACTTTTGATTTATGTTTTGACTAAGTTTTTTAAATGCTATATATTTATATATTTATCTTCTATTCTGATGACATATATTTACATCACAAAACAACTATAACAAAAAGACATGCGTTGGATTATATATTATGCAGGTACTTCGTACGCATGTTTCAGTAAGTCCTCATCAAGAGTGTTTTAGACTGAGCATTGCAAGGGAGGACGAAGTGATGCTATTGAAGGCATATTACAAGTGAAGTTCTTAGTTTGAGTGTTACTTTAAAGTCGTGTAATATATATATATATATATATATAGTTCCATTTTCTGCATAAAATTTGTATCCTTAATAAGTGTATGCCCTTAAATAATGACAAAATTAAAATATTTCTTTTTAGTAAGCAATAAGAAATGGCCTAAAGTTTTTTATTTATCACTTTTAAAGGAAATTAAGCACTGCCATAAACTCCTACTGTTCCCTGCAACCTTTGCTTATTTTTTCTTTAAAAAAATGGGACACATAATTCCAATTCAGATGTTTTATATTTAAAAAGTAAATAAATGCATACATATCCTTCTATAGAGAGATCGTGTTGACAAGTCACATGGACGCTAATAAGCATCCACCCAACTTATGTAAGAAGCTATTAAAAACAAATCAAGATTGGAGTAACGGACAGGGAGCCACCACAAAACATTTTCATTTAGCGACGGATAATCCGTCTTCATTGGCGATGGAAATTTTAAAAAAATGGTTTTTCTTTTATAATTATTAAACTCTTAAATAGAAAAATGCTGATGAAGTGTTAAATAATAACAACGGGTTTGCGAATGGATTTTTCTGTTTTTGAAAGGCATGGCTCTAAATTCGTCTTTGGTTTGCCAAATTTCAAATAAAATTATCCAGACCTTTGTTAGGTTAGTTTGACATTCATCCAGGGAAACTTTTTTTTTTTTTTGGTTCTTTAAATAGTTAAGAGGAGAAACTCAATCTATCTCCAAAATAGGACATACTACCTCCACTCTTTAAAGTAAAAGCTACCTTGACTTTAATTTAATTCTATTAATAGGGAGTAGACTCATAATTGGTAAGGTTGTGAGATTGAATTTTACTACTGATATGAAGATTTTATTAGCGGATAACCCGTAAGTACTTTTATGAGTGCTTTTTGAGACCCAACGTGCCCTGGGCCTAATTAGTTCTTAGGAGCTAACTCACCGAAACTTTTTATATATATAAAAAAAAGTAATATGGTTATTAAACCCATTAATAAGGAGTACTTTCAAACACCGGAAATAATCAATGATTCTTTAACAATCGCTGTGAAAGTCGTGCCAGCATGCAGGCAGCAATTCTCAAGTATATGCATATGTTGTGTGCATGAAGTTGAGAATTTGAAAGACTTCTTGGTGAAGAGACTAATAAGCTGGAAATATATCTATATATTATAAGCTGTTAAAGCTTCCTCTATTGGCGTCTTCCATCTTCCACTCCTTTTTTTTTTTTTTGCCTTTTCTCTTTCTTATATTTAGATTTATTTTAATTTTGAAAATTTAAAAACCGATACCTACAGCCATGTCCTGTCACTCTCGAGTGGTAATTTCTTAAATGATTTTATATGTTAATTTTATCTTTCTTTCCAATAAAATTTTTTTCAGTTTCTTTTAAATTTTAAATTTAATTTTATGATTATTTAAATTCAATTTTTTTAATTTGATTCAAATCTCAAATTTTAAAATTTTTTAATATTTTATTTTGCAATATTAATTTATTTTTAATAATTATTCATTTTTTTCTTGTCACATTTATTTTATAAAAAATATAGTTCATGGTTTTTTCGGTTAACATGAAGGTGATGAGATCGTGAAAATATGTGGTGGTACCGGACTCACGTCATGATATTGTTGGGCTTTGGGAAGGAATGCACCCAGAATCAAAGTGGCCTTTGGCAAAAACAAAAAGAAATCAAAATGGCCCCACTTAGTGGAAGGTAAGAGCAAAAGCCGAAAAAAGGTCACGCCACGAGAGGGACTTTAGGCTTGGGGCATTTGGATCACTCCAAGAAAAATTATTTTATATTTTTACAAGATCAAACTTCTTTTTTTTTTTCTTGAAATATTTACTTTATATAGCACAAAATCGTTTAGAAAAAACTTAAACGAAATCCTCTTACATAAAGCCGCAGGCTATAGTTCTTGAGAGTTGAGACTGGATTTTCTTTTCTTTTCTTTTCTTCTGCTTGTTGCTCTCCTTTATTGTGATTCATCGATTCTATTATCTAACAGCTCTATAAGTTTTGTAGGACCACTGATTTTTTTTTCCAAGTGTATCATAGTATCATTTGCATCTAAAATAAGCGGAAGACTTTTCAAAGTTGAATTGGTTTGTAGAGGACAAAGCAAATTGACTTGACCCATCATCAAATGGGGGGCCATTTGAGAGGGTCTCACTCATGATAATGTATTAATGGGTCAAATTTTATGGCCACCTTATCTTCGTTTTTGATACTCCTCACTTGGGCGAAGAATACTAATCAAAGTCATTCATATATTTTTAATTTATTCAAATACTCCTTTTGATCTTAAACATAAGAGCTAGTTTGACTTTTAATTTGGTTCTAAATATAATATTTCAATATACTTTGTCTCTCATATTTATCTATTTTTTTTCAAAATAGTTCTTGTAGTAGTTGCACATATTAAATATTCTATCAAATAATAGTTCTAACTAATACACATGGTTAGCAAGGGTATTTTAGAAAAGACAATATCTGTTTATTATAAATAACTAACTTAATTTATTTTCTTAATTTATTAAAATTAATTAACTAGTTCTTATATTAAGGACCAAAAGTAGTATAAATGTGTCTGTGTGCGTGCATGACAACTGGAATCATAAATGAAGTATTGACAACAAGTTATGAAAAGACCAGATAAAATTCAAATATGGTGGAATCATTTTTCCATCAAGTGAAATAGATCTTTGTTAGACTTTTCAATAATATATGGGAATTATGAGGGGGGGAAACAAATTTGTTGCCTGTTTAGATTGAAATCGATTTTTCATTTATGTCATTTGAATAAAAAAAATATACTCTCATATATAGTTGATGTCTTCATGAATATCGTTGCTATTTTCTGCATCTCTCAGAATTGAGGCAACTTTTTTCAGGGGTTCGATACAGAAGATGTAGGGAAGTTTTCTTTATACACACATGACCTAAATTTATTTATTTTTCTTTCAAACTTTTAATATGTACAATAAATAATTTTGTTGAAAAATTACAGTCTAAAAGATTGATATAAACTTTTGTCTCTTTGGTTTGGTCCCCAGAAACCTCTGTCTTAGTGTTGCTAATCTGCTTTTGGGTTGGGGGGCAAAAAAGAGAGAAAAATTGGAGGAAAGAAGATGGGAGAAAGGAAGATGGAGAGCTTACCATTAATAATGGTTGGCGACCTGGCGTCACGTGTCAATGCAAACCAATTCAGTTCTAATTAAAAGTCATCCATTTTCTGCTTAGTCCTTATATTCTACGTCACTTGCGTGTGTTAGCGTCATGGTTTATGTCATGAACATTTGAAGTCGGAAAGTATTAAAGACGAACTCACTGTGGGACCTGGGAATATAAATATCTCTCAATATAAAAGTGTGGTGGTGGCAAGCCCTTCCCATCAAAGCATATCAATCAGTGATTATGGAAACCTCATCATTTCTCTCCTATATCTCTAATCTTCTGCTGCCATGGTTATTAATATTAGCAATTATGCTCCACAATAAGGGCACTTAGAGTTTGAGAGTACAGTGTGATGAAAGAGATCGCCATGTTCTCTTAAATTTCAAACAAACAGTTGGTGATCCATCATCCATCCTCTCTGGTTGGTCGGATGGCAGAGATTGTTGTGAATGGATAGGGATTCAGTGTGACAACACCACCGGTAGAGTCATCGAACTCAGTCTTCCTTGTTCTTTAGAAGCCTATGATTATGATTGTGAAGAGAAGAAATCACACTGTCTCACAGGTGAATTCCACCTATCTTTGCTCCGACTTGAGTTTTTAACTTACTTGGATTTGAGCAATAATGACTTCCATGTTACTCCTCCGGTCCTTAATATAGGACCCAATTAGAAGGTTGATCTTGGTCCTAAATATAGGACCCCTTTCTCATATTTTTTCATTCTTTCCTAAATTACCCCTATTAGATAATTAAATACCACAATAATACTCATTATTCATTAATAATACACCTATATATTTTATAAAGTGAATGAATACTTATTACTTATTGATTCCACACATACATCAATTCTACCATTTTATATTTTTAATAAAATAATTTAAACATTTAAAAAAATATTTTCATACAAATACCCATTCAAGGTAATTGGATTTTTTTACCTCCGAGGAATAGCATAATAATAATCATACTATCTATTTAATTCAAGGTACCGGAGGAGGCGAGTTAACCAGACTTGAATTTTTTTCAAATGTCAGTTTCTTTTTAGAAGTGTAAACCGAGGGTATTTTGGGATATCTATATTTATTACCTAACTTAACTACTATCCTTAATTTAATCAAAATAGTCAAAAGGGTCCTATATTAAGGACCGGAGGAGTATTACCCAACATGATTCCTCTAAAAATTCTTCTAATCTTCATTACCTTGACTTATCATATAATGAGGATCTTTTCATTGATAGCCTTCATTGGATTTCTCGTTTTGCCTCCTTGAAATATGTTAACTTCAGTGGCATTAATCTTCAAGGGAAACTTGATTGGCTTCAGTTACCAGCTTTACTTCCTTCCCTTACTGAATTGCACCTAGATAGATGCCACCTTGAAAACATCAGTCCATCCCTGCAGTATGTCAATTTTACTTCACTTGAAGTTCTTAGCCTTTCTGATAATGCTTTTAACTCTGAAATCTTTCCGAACTGGCTATTCAATCTCAGTGATGTCACTTCTGTAAATTTGAGCTATAATTATTTTCATGGCCAACTTCCAAATAGACTGTTGAATCTTGGAAAATTAAAAAGCTTGGATTTGCAAGGCAATCAACTAAGTGGACCAATTCCAGCTTGGTTAGGCCAACTAAAACACCTACAAGTTCTTGATATTAGTCATAACTTACTCTATGGTCATATTCCTCCTCAATTGGGAAATCTATCATCCTTGGTTATCTTGAATCTCAATTCAAATAACTTAAACGGTAGTCTTCCAGAGAGCCTTGGGCAGCTCTTGAACTTGGAGATGTTCAACTTTTATGATAATCATTTGATGGGGTATGTGTCTGAAAGGAATTTTGTCAAACTCTCAAATTTGAAAGTGCTTGGCATGGGATCTCCAGGCTTAATCTTTGACTTTGATTTGTCTTGGGTTCCTCCTTTTCAACTTGAAGGCATAAATTTGGTGCACATAGTGGGTTCTAAGTTTCCTGAATGGATATATACGCAAAAGTCTCTCAGGGTATTAGTTATTATCTCCTCAAGTATTTCATTTCAATCTCAAGATAACTTTTGGAATTTGGCAACACAGTTGAGATGCTATGCTTACAAGAGAACACGATTGATTGGGACATATCCGATGTGTTACTGAACTCTACATACGTAAGTTTGAGTTCTAATAAATTCAAAGGCAATCTCCCTCGTTTGTCACCAAATGTTGTCACATTCAATGCAAGAAATAACTCTTTTCAAGGATCTATTTCTTCATTGTTGTGTCAAAAGATGAGTGGCAGAAGCAATTTAAAGTATTTGGACATGTCTAATAATCTATTATCAGGAGGGCTTACAAATTGCTGGATGCATTGGAAATCCTTGGTTATTATTAGGCTAGGTGGCAACAATCTTACTGGTACTGTTCTCCCATCAATCAGTTTCTTATCTAATCTCAAGATTTTGCATCTCAATAACAACAACTTCTTTGGAGAGATACCAATGTCACTGAAAAATTGCCAGAACCTGCAGATCCTTGATGTTGCAGAAAATAAATTTTCAGGATTCATACCAAACTGGATAGGTCACAATGTAAAGATTATCCAATTTAGATCCAACCAATTCAGTGGAACTATCCCATCAGAGGTATGCCAGTTGGAATCTCTTACAATATTGGATTTTGCAAATAACAAACTCTCAGGTTCAATACCTAGTTGCTTACATAATATGACAGCCATGAGACAAGCTGCTTCAAGTAATGTGGTTAACAACTTTTGTGGTAGAATATTGTGTTCAAATTCTATATATGGAGACAATGTTGAGTTGCATATAAAAGGCCTTGAACTAATCTATGAAGAAAATGTAAAGTTGTTGCGTGCTATTGATCTATCAAGTAATTATATGTCTGGAACAATACCTCCAGAAATGTTTAGTCTCAGTGAATTGCATTCCTTGAACTTGTCCCATAATCAATTAGAAGGAAATATATTGAGAGAGATTGGAAACTTGAAACAATTAGAATCTCTTGATCTTGCACACAATCAATTTTCAGGTGAAATTCCTCAAAGTTTGGCTCAATTGTCTTTTCTGGGAACCTTAAACCTTTCCTCAACAATTTCTCTGGAATGATCCCATCAGGGACTCAACTTCAAGGGTTCAATGCGCTAAGCTATATTGGGAATCTTAGACTTTGTGGTGCTCCACTTCCAAAGAATTGCACACAAAGATGTTAAGCCCACTGAAGGAAATTACAGTGAAGAAGATGAATTTCTATCTTCCTTCTACATTGGGATAGGAGTTGGATTTGCCGTGGCCTTTTGGGGAGTCTGTGCTGTCATTTTCTTCAACAACAATTTCAGGCATTCTTACTTTAGATTCCTCTATCACATTAGAGACAAGTTTTATGTCATGGTGATCCTCAGGATTAATCGTTTTCATTGAAGACCTAGCTGGTACTAAGGTGAGTGAAACAAACTAATGATTTAAGTTTTGACTAAGTTTACTTAAATGCAATATATTTTACTTTTTCGTTGCCACATATTCCCTTTTTTAATAATATTTTAGAAGCGATAAGGTACTTAAATATTAGGAAATATTGATAAGAAGTACCTAATACTTGAAAGTTTTGTTTTTTGGCTCTTAGACATAATTTAATAGTCAAACTTAATGGTGGATATCAACTAGGGTAGTTTTTTTAATGAAGTAAAACTTTTAGGGCATAAAAGAGCTAAAACAAAACAACCAAGTACTAGATGCTCCTTCATGGATGCTTCAGGGGTATTTATTCAAACACCTTATTCGTATTCTAGAACTATATAAATACATAAATTTAATATTTTGGAGGTGTAACGCCCTTGTAATATTTTTTATTTATATATTATGCAGTTTCTTGCTCCTCATCGGGTCTTCTAGGCTGAGCATTGCAAAGGAGGACGAAGTGATGCTGTTGAAGGCATATTATAAGTGAAGTGAAGTTTTTAGTTTGTTGCGTTACTTTAGTTTGAAGCGGTGCAATATATCGTATATGTCCTTAAATAGAGAGGGACATATGATTCCAATACAGGTGTTGTATACTTAAAATGTAAATAAATGCACGTCATAAATTAGTAAGTTGATAATTCACATTATAGATGTGTATGAATCGGACCGAACCAGGTTAGCCATCACAGCGTAAGAAAGACCTCATACTGAACATGATCGCCTGGGGTATAGTCTGATCCAGTATCAACCTGAGGTTGGATGAACCAGACTTGATCCATCAGATATACAAATTGGTCCATGCATTTCAATATCATAATTTACTTTCTTTTTCCTCCTCTATGTGTGTGTTTTAAGAGATCAGACAGACGCAGACACGTAGGGAAAGGAATGATTGAGGGATTTGAATTATAAGGGTTGAAATGCCTCAGAAACAGGGGAACTCTGTTCTATTTTCTGCAAATAGGATAAAGCAACTCAACGCAATCCTACCAAAGAAAACAAAAACACTCTTGCTTCTCTATACGCTGGTCTCTTCTATGATACAAGAAGTATAGTGAACGAGTTCAAATCAGCAAATGGCCAAAGTTTCCAAAAAACAAATGTACAGAGACTGACGAGTTTAAAGTCACGTGGACTTTATTCAGGCTGATGAGAATGTTGTTGTGGAACTCTAAGATTGTGCTTCAAATGTGATAGGTGCACGTTGGAGTACAAGCGAATAAAAAAGAATATAAAATTAATTAAGTTGATAAAAATATCTTGTAAAAATTTACAACAACAATCAAGCATGATATTTTTAAAAAAAATTTTATGTTATCAAAATCAAGAAAAATAGAAAGGAGGCAAAGAGTCACTAAATTTAAAAAACCAATGAAGCCCGGAAATTATTTCAGGATATATAGTTTTTGACAATTTGAATGTTGAAGGAAAATATAAATATTGAGTAAATAAATTATTTGTCGCTTCATATTCACAATATTATATGTAAAATCAAATTGAAACCTTATACAAAATTAAAGGATCAGATATATACTTCAACCTTATCTTTATTTGTTTAATTTTATTTCTCAGCTTTTTCTCCATCTGACTAGTCAACAAGGCGGGATCATAATGAAGCAGAGATCACTAATCTCAAATAAATTTAACAAAACTAAAGAAAAAAAACAATTCTACGTAATGTATTTTTTTATATTTAACGAATAAGTTATGTTAACTTTCTTTTAAAGTGGATAGCAAAAGGGAGAGGTTGACGATATTTAAAAATTTATGAAGTCTTGGCTTATCACACATGTATCTTTTTATCGTTGATTATATGCCGTGTTTTATGCTTCAACTTAATTAATCAGTGTAAGTACTAGGTCCAGGATTTCACTGTTCGAGTGAAAGTCGCTCCAAATAATATAAGAATGGGAAGCTATTATTTTACAAATTCCACAAATATATTTTAATCTTTTGTAAGTTTTATAAGTCTGCAGTACTGTTTTAAACACCGGATCAAATATTAAACTAAAAAGAACAGCGCGTTATGGTTCAATCGGTCAGATTGATTGAACTGTTCAGTCAGACTAATAACATAATAATTAAATAAATTTAATATTATGTACCTATATGACAATATAGATATAAGAAATAAAATATCAAATTCTTGAAAAAGTTAAGAAAAAAATTTAAATATCTCAATTTTATAATGAGTTAACAAGCTCGCGTAATATTAATATACCTCAAATTATAAAATCTTGTAAAATAGTATACTAAACATATATAACTTTATATTAAACATTTTACATAAAAATAATAAACATTTTACATAAAAATAAAATATCAAATATGAAAATGAATTTTAAATAAAAATACAATTAAAAACATAAAAAATAAGGAAAAATGTATAATTGAAGATCTCCCGCCCAAAAAAAAATCATATTTGGGAAAAAAAATGACCCCCTTGATACGCGTGAGTGATGTGGTCGGCATTAAATGAAGGTTATTTACTTTTACTTAGCGTTTTAAAAACCGGACCGGATGGTCATACCGGTCCAGTCGGTGACCGAAAAGCCCTCCGGCTCGGTTAACATAATCTACCCGCCTTGCTAGTTGAACCATTTCGGGCCGCTTTAAGTCGACATTTAGATCGGAAGCCGGTGTTAGCCCGAAAACCGGGACAGTTTTGCAAAAATCGGACGGCCTAAATTATTTACTCAGAATACTCAAGTCAGGTGTGAGTTGAAGAAGAAAGAAGAAGAAGAGGAAGAAGAAGAAGAGGAAATAGGAGATCAGGAAAGAAAGGAGAAGATGGAAGAAGATGATATAAAGGGGAAAAAAACACAACCTCAAACCATCCAAATCCACCAGCGTTGCTAGCTGCCACGGCCATGAACGCAGAAAACGAAAGCTGCAACGCCCTGAAGAATAGAGGGTTGAGATGTGAAAACAAGATTATGCCGATGGTGTGTTCTTGATTGCTGTAAAAGTAATAAATTTCATTTAATGCCTGCAATCATCCCACACGTTTACTAGGGATCGTTTTATTTTTCCTTTTTTTAATTTCAAATTTCTATTTATGTATTTTTTTCTTATTGAGTTATTTCTCATTTCTTATTTTATTTATGTTTTTATTATTTTCAATAATCTTGTGAGGTATATTAATATTATGTGAGCTTGTTAACTCATTACAAAATTGAGGTATTTAAGTGTTTCTTAAATTTTTTAAAAAAATTAATATGATATTTTATTTCTTATACCTGTATGGCTATATTATCACATGAGCATATAATTTTTTTAATTATTATGCTATCGGTCCAACCAAATGGTTGAACCGATCTGACCGGTTAAACCGTGACCCGCTGTCTTTTCCGGTTGGACATCTGGTCCGGTTTATTAAACATTGCTTTTACTGCTTTACAGTTGTCAACGCAATTTTTCTCTCTCAACAATTTCACACCATCAGACTTTTAGGCGCCCACCTCAAGCCGTCGCAGCTTTCATTTTTCTTGTTCATGGCCATCGCAGCTTCCAATATTGGAGGATTTGAGTGTTTTAAGGTTTTTTTTTTGCCTCCTTCAATGCTATCTTCTTCCATCTTTCCTAATTTCCTTTCTTCTTCTTCTTCGGTTTGTTTGGTCTCAGATCAGATCTAGTTTTTTTTTCCCAACTCTCTACTCCACAAGTGCATAACAGATTCAGGCTGTCTGGTTTTTGAAAAACCGTTCTGATTCCCAGTCCACATGATGGCTTAAAGGGACTCGAAACGGCTCAACTAATAGGGGTGAACTACGCTAACGAAATCAGAGAGGGCTCCCGTCACCGGCCAGACCGATCCAACCGTTCGGTCCAGTCCGGTTTGGTTTTTAATTCATTGGTCCGTTACTCTATTCACAGACAACGCAATTTCTCCATTTAATTATTCATCTGGTTTAATGATTTAAGATCGCTCATTGTAGCGTTAAATTAAATATACTATTTATTTAATTACTACCATAAAAAAGTATTTTTTTTTAAAGCTGAAATTACAAAACAAAATTGTACATGGAGAAGTGTACGTATTGAGGAAAAATGTGGAGAGAATCCAAATTGCCAGGAAGACTAATAACGCAACAGGTCCCTCTTCTTGACGGGTCAAGACTCAAGACAATCTGTTTTGTCTTTTTGATCATCCTTCGCACTTGTGTCATGGTTAATAATTTTCATACAATATCAAACAATACCCACACTGAATTAAAACAGAGCTAGAATGGGTTGAATTAATTACATTGAAGCAAGCTTTCATCCATTGTAAGCAAAAGATGGAGAAAATGTTGGAGAGAAACAACCCACTTGAGCCAAGATACTATTTCTAAAGTTTGATCCCAAGAGCTCATTATTATTAATCTTTTACGTACAGTTTGATTGAATGAATTGCAGTCTTGGCTACGTTTTTCTAATTTTAAATTGTGATTTTTAATTCTATTTCATAAGGACTTAAATTTGAGTTAGTGGCATTAAGTATATGCACCAAAACCAAAATTCATCTGTTTCCTATACTTTTAATAAGTTTTAATTTTAGTCTTTATACTAACTAAAAGTCAAAGCATTAAATTTAGACTAAGTACATGTGGTATTATAGGGACCAAAAATTATTTAAAACTATAGAGATTAAAAGTAAAATTTAATTAAATTGTAAGGATCCTATAATGGTACTAACCCTTATTTATTTGATCTACTGAGTATAAGCTCATGTTAGTAACAGGATTAGAACAACAATATGCATGTCATTCTTCAAAGTTCTTAATAGAATGCTTACAATCTTGATCTGTATCGAACTAAACCTGTCTCACGTGATTATTGAAACAGACAATAGTGACTTATTTCACTGTTTATCGAAGGCCTCCCCAACCAGGGGTGATTGGTGTGCTTGGCACCAGCTAATGGATACAATAGAACTTGCTACATCTCGGTCTGGTTTGGTTTTTTCCTTCTCCACTCGGGAAGGCAATAGTATTGCTGATCACATAGCAACTTCTGTGCGCAGGAAGGTGTGCCTTCCCGGGTGGGTCTCACAGCCAACACTTTCTTTGGTTCCCTTTCTCTCCAAGGATGTAGCAAGCTCTAATGAATCCGCTTCTATTGATGGCATGACCCAATCGCTGTCTGGGGTTACGTTGAGGGCGGGCATTGGTTAACACTTGTGGATGTCTCTCTTTCGTGTGTTTAGCGGGCTTTTGGTGTTGCTGGCTTTTCTTCGGCTTTGCTTCTTTTATGTTGTCGTTACTTTCCGTTTCTCCTGTACTCGGCTTTCCTAGCCTTTTGTGAATGAATGCTTTTTCTGGCCCAAAAAAAAAAGAATGCTAACAAAATTTTATTTATCATAACAATAGCTTGTTGAATCATAGTAGTAGATTACTAAATACGTAGCAAATGTATTTTTTTTCTAAATATACCCCTACATAAATGGATGAATGTGAGAGTAATAGTGAGATAAATGAAGAAAGATAATATATTAAATACATTTAA